TGGGGTTGGGGAGGTGTGGGGTGGGGTGGGGTGGGGTGGGGATGTCTCTGAACGAACAACCGAGCCTCAATTTGCGCTCTGTATGATTGTGTTCTTCAACAGCTGATGAAACAAGCGATGAGATGGTGGAACAACGTCATGGCGAGCCTGGTACCCTGGGAGATGAGAATCAAGCGCATAGAGAGTCAGTAGGCCCTTACAAATTATAGAGACAATGATAATGTGAGGTTCTACTTTTATAAATACTCTACTACCTCTCTCTTTATGTCTCTGTCTCTGTCTCTGTCTCTGTCTCTGTCTACCTGTCTGTCTGTCTGTCTGTCTGTCTGTCTGTCTGTCTGTCTGTCTGTCTGTCTGTCGGTCTATCTATCTATCTATCTATCTATCTATCTATCTATCTATCTATCTCTCTATCTATCTGTCTATATGTTATGCTGAAGAATAATATTATCGTTCTATTCATGGAGCGCAAAAGAGATGTGGGAACAGAGGCTTTTCCCTTGAGGTCTCCCTCATTCCTGCTCCATGATTAGATCTAGGTAGCAGCAAAGATCGGTAGCAGAAAGCACACTGGAGTCTAAGAATTTTAAAGAGTCAATTCTTTGGACACAGCACCAGTGCACACATTTTTAACACTCCGCAAAACAGCACGATTTTCAACTTCTCCTGAAGGCTCTAATCATGAGGAAATCTTGTTTTGGTTTGTTTGTTGGGGTTTGTTTTGTTTTGTAGATGTGTAACGCCCCCCCCCCCCCTCATGAACACTGTTTATATCAAATTGGAAGCGGGCTTCGACTCAGGCTGAGTGCGATACAATATCTAAAGAAAAAGACCGAACTGTACGATTTACAAAATAAATTCTCCCCACTTTGGATTCGAGCTGGGCTCTCTTGTGTGCGACGGCGAGGGCGCTTAACACCACAAACGCCACGTTACAAACTGAGAAAGAAATCAATGCGCCAGGTTCTGACCAATAAAGATGTATGTTTTCTTATCTTATCTTATCTTATCTAAAGTGTGGTCTCCCTGTCCGTGGTCAGGTCATTTTGGCTCTGTGGTGGCGTCATACTTCATCTTTCTCCGCTGGTTGTTGTGGATCTCTGTGTGGCTGGCGGTAATACCCTCCTGCTTCATCATGATTCCAGAGGTAGGTCCTTGTACCGTACGGTTTTTAACAAATTACGTTTTTTGTTGATTTAATTGTAAATGTAAGTTTATTACACCCTCGTAGACACAATTTAGAAAATGTAGATACTTCTCTCTCTCTCTCTCTTTCTCTTTATTTTTCCCTTCTTTCTCAACCTCTCTCTATCTCTCTCAATCTCTCTCTATCTCCTCTCTCTCTCTCTCTCTCTCTCTCTCTCTCTCTCTCTCTCTCTCTCTCTCTGGGCTGCTTCAACCAAACATGTCAGGGCAAAGGGGAATATAGCATTCAGGGAAAAAACAAGGATGCTCGATAAAGAAGACTTTCTCACGAGGTATATTATCTGAAGCATTTTGCATTCAACAGAGTAGAGCCAACACAGCCCACAGAATGATAAAATTGTGTTGTGTTCTAACTTTTGCCTTCAGATAATAAGTTTTATCCATTTTTTCTAGATGTTCAGTTTTTTAGTAAACGGAAATAGCCCTTTTTTGCCAAAGAGTCCTTCATGTATTAACTGTCAGATTACTCAGCTGTCAATCATTTGTCTCTAGATGGTGTTAGGCTCCGCCCACGGCACCACCAACAGAAAGACGATACCAGCCGACAAGGAGAAGACAGCTTACGACCTCAAGACCATCTGGAACGCCGAGGTGAGAGTGCGCTACACGGATCCCTCCTCCCCTCCCATGCAAAGGCTCACACCCCCCCCCCCCACACACACACACACATACACATACACACATACACACATATCTTTTGTTTTGAACTCCTCCGCTTCTGCATGACAACTGCAGTGTTAGAACAGCTAGAAACAACATTTTGCTTCGATTAAGCTAATCAACATAGAAACAAAATGAGGTAAAGTGTGCTACTTTGTTGTGAATAAAGGGCCCTTTTGGCCTCAGTCGAGATCATTTTAAGGCTCAGATGGTAATTTGCTTGATTTTTTTTTTTATTTATTGTCAGCCATACTTTCAATTGTTACTCGTTTTGTTTTTTAAAGTTCTCTTTCGAACCTGTCAGTTGTCAGTCATGATGTGTATGTGAAAATAATAACTTTCAGTGAAAAGTCAAGACTTTTAGCTATGAATAATAATATAGGTGTACTTGTAATTCTGATTATCAAGCACATAGTATTGTTGAACGATTTGGTTTAATTTAATTCAGTGAGACACAAAAGACTTGCAATGAAAATAGCTTTCAGCAATTCCACGTCAGATAGGAGTTCTGGATTTAGTGGATATGCCAATGGTAAGGCACAATTCAAATTCAACTGAAAACACCTTTTGATCTCTTCTTTCATACCGATTATCCAAACTACATCTTGCTCCTCAGGGAGTTGTCGAGTATTCTCTTCTGTTTTACGGTTACTATGGAAACGATGGCATCATAGGTCAGGGGTACAGGATGCCATTAGCCTACTTACTCACCAGTCTCACTACCTTCGCCTTCAGTTTTATTGTCGTCCTTAAAAGGTAAGCCATGCTGTTCTTTCAATGTTGTTTTTTGTTGCTGTAGCTGTTTAGTATTGTTTATGTTGCTTTTTTATTTGGTTGGTTATATTTATTTGCTTGTTTGTTTGTTTGTTTTATTTATCTGCTTTATGTTTCAGTTTTGCGAGTAGAAGTCGTGTTTTGTTGTTTTTGTTGGGGGGGGGGGTGAGGTTGTTGAGGATTTTAATTACTCAACTTTCATCCTCCCCTCTCCATGTCTCATTATAAAATAATCAATGTCCCCTTTACTTCCTGTCAGGAAGACATTATTACCATCAACCATCGTCTTCAACGTTGCCCTGTGTCATTGTCTATTTTCCTCAGTATGATATGATAATGTCAGAAGCAGCCAGTCATGTTGTTGAATAAAATTCCCTGCCTTAACATAGACTAAAAGTGTGTGTGTGTGTGTGTGTGAGTGTGTGTGTGTGTGAGTGTGTGTGAGTGTGTGTGTGTGTGTGTGTGTG